AAACTGTGATTTTTTTTGTGAGTGTCTCATGGCAATGATGTAAGCGAGTGCGACGTTCATGACAACAGCTGTGTGCAGATCAACAATGGTTAAAAAAATCAAGTGTAGGTAAGCATATGACTGTACAGCATTTAAAGCGTGGAAGTACTGACCTCACTTTGAGTTTGATTCTGTAAAAAGTGACAAAAACATTAGTTTCCGCTGATCACTGCGTGGGAAGGAAACTTCTTTTTACAGTGAAAACCCCGTAACTTCCTTGCTTGGAAGTTACGGGGTTCTGCTGTTTTACTTGCATCTATTTGAAAGACTGAGTGTAAACACAAAATCATATTTTATTTTATGTGCAGGAATGTGCAGATTGCAATGAAAATGCCTCCACACTAGCGTTTTCAGTCGTTTTCACAGAGTTGTGCATCCACATTGAAACGGTCAGTTGCCCAGAGAGTGCAAAAAATGAGTGCAAACTTTATTTTTTTCTCTTTTCATGTATATCCTACTGTTAAGATGAGTGATTGAAAAAGAAAAACAACAATTTTATAGAGCAAAAAAGAGAAAAGATTTACTGTACATTTACTGTATTTATTTTTATTCTATTTTATTTGTATTTTCCTCAAATGTCTCTCACATCATTTTATAATGTCGATTCAATTCATTGAGGTTTGTGGGAATACGTTTATGCACAGCTTTCTCAAACCACAATTGCAAACTTACCACAACTTAGCATTATAGTTGGTATGAGATGTTTGTGCTGATATGCCGTAAATAGTTTTCTCTAAACACAGCCCTGCATCATAGCCAAAGATCTCCACTTGTTGCCACATTGTTTTAACCCTTTAAAGCCTGAATCATAAAATAATTGGTAGAAATTGTATTTTTTTGAAAATGGTGTTTATTTAATTTTCTTTTGTTTAATTTTGTGTAATTGTTTAAAAAATAAATCACATTCCAATCTCCATATATGACATTTAATTTGTATCATATTTGCTTATCTGATTTTTTTAATTGCTTAAAAATGTATTGTGCAATTTATTTAGGTTTTTCAGGGGGAAAAATTCCCATTGATGATGTTGAAGTCCCAAAAACTGGGGAAAAACTCTATTTTTCAAATGTAATACACCAGGCATTAAAAGGTTAAAAGTCAGTTTAGGATTGACACTCTTCAATCCTAAAGTTTTCTTCTATGTTCTTTTTATAGAGAAGAGTTTTCTTCTGGCAACTCTTACAAACAAGAGTGGCATCTTCAGCCTTTTTTCAGTTGCGCTGTCATGAACTTTAAGATTTGACATGCTAACTGAGGCCTGTAGCCCTGTTTTTTGCTTTGTGTGTGTGTGTGTTAAACCACATCTGAATATACCAGATGAGCAATAGATGTGGTTGCTGATGATATTTCAATCAAGTGCATCTGATTAGCAGTGCCTGGCTGCTGGAAACGGTAAAGCTGTATGCGGTTTTTCATGGGAGTTCATAGAGTCCTATGCAAACATTCCTTTTCACATGATTGTGTGTATCATTGCGATTTTCTGGGGAGAGTGAGGTTAACCTTCTACCCACACATTCTGCATATCTGCAAAACTACTACTGAGCATCAATGCCCAACACTTCCTTTATCTACTTCAGAGTTCCCTATGAACTTTAAACACATTCACCTGCATGTGCTAGGGTTGGGGGCATGCACTGCGGCTGCTCCCTGTGACTTCCCTTTTAAATGCCTTGATATGCAGAATATCTACATATGCAATCTATGAGGCTGTAATACATATTACATAGGTGTAACAGTGTAACAGCTCAAAATGTTGTTTGTGTACACCATTCGTGTCCTCAAGAAGAAAACACAAGAATACATGCTGCTACTACTACTACCAATAGTAACAATAATGTGCAAAATGTTGTAATTTTGAATAATGAATTATAATAGAATGCAGTGTTTACACAGTTAAGCTCCGGAAACAAATAGCTAACTAAGACACACCAAATGTCATGCTAGAGGCCCTTAAAGAGAGGTTTGTTTTAAGATGTGAAAATTTTGCTCTTAGAAATGGGATGCCATAAGCATGCACATGTACACGCTATTTGTCTTTTTTTTTCAAAGTCAATGTCACCTTCACTGATACAGTATTTATACAGAATCTAAGCTGAGGCAGAGGAAATATATTGCACAATAACAGTCTGTTATACCATCTATCAGTATACCATCTGATTTGCAAAAACATAACACAGAGAGCAAACACCCAAAACGTCCACCCCATTTGTGAGATATCACCTAGGTGTATGTTGTTTCAGGATGTGGGTTTTGTGGCTTGTGTAGCTTCGACATGAGAGATGTTTTTTTAGTTACTCATAATTGCACCAGTGTTTTTTTTTTTCTTTTGCATCCTCTTACATGCATATCTATTTGTATGTGTTATTTAAAAAAATTGCTGCTAAGAGACCAAGGACTTCCTCAAATGTTATATAGATTTACATACCACACTGAAGCTCAGACTCACACTCAAATATACTGCACCGTCAACTGACAATCATCAGCCAGATAGAAAGCACAATGAATTTGGGAGTAATGATTTACACCTTGGTTGAAGTGCTTATTGCAGTTAGTTGCTGTCTGGGTAACATGCTGGTCATTTTGGCACTTTGGACCACTAAAAGCATTCAACAGCCAACATTCTGCCTTATTGCATCTCTGGCTATGGCTGATTTTCTGGTTGGATGTGTGGCCATACCATTGGCTGTAGTGGTGGATGGACGGGTGAAGACTTCGTTCAATACGTGTCTCTTCATCAGCTGTGTGGTCATTCTGTTCACCCTCGTTTCAGTTCTGTCTCTGTTGGCTATTTCGCTTGACCGTTTCCTCCGGGTGTATATCCCTCTCAGGTAAGAGTATGGATTAATAAGACACATTTTTTAAAAACAAACTAAAATGACTCATAGTTGAATAGTGAACATAGTAATTTAGTAGTAGGAAGTAGTAATTATGGACTTTGTGGTTTATATGGTATGTGTGAATGGGTGGATGACTGGATGTGTAAAGCGCTTTGGGGTCCTTAGGGACTAGTAAAGCGCTATACAAATACAGACCATTTACCATTTACTATATCATTTTATCACATCGACCAGTACTTCACTAACAATTTATTTTTTTTAAAAAAAAATCATTTTATGCTATTTTAATTTTTTTTGTGAGACTATTTTATTGTTTTCATTTTTTAATAGGTACAAAAGGATTGTGACACAGGGCCACTCCTGTCTTGTGGTGGCAGCATGTTGGATTGTTGCAATCCCTCTCAGCTTTACTCCCATGCTTGGGTGGTACAACCATCAAACCTTGTCTAATTCAGCCAATTCTACAATTGTCTGCCAGTTTATAGCTGTAATTCCCATGTCATACCTGGTTTATTTCAGTTTTTTTTCCCTGAATCTGATACCTCTGTTGGTAATGGCCACGTTGTATACCCATGTTTTCTGTATTATAAAAGGACACCTTCAAGGGAAACCAGGCAGTGGTGCTCAAAAACTGTCTCAGAACTACCTAAGAAAAGAGAAAAAGCTGGCAGGATCTCTAGCTCTGGTCTTCGCCCTGTTTGCCCTGTGCTGGCTGCCGCTTCACATAATGAACTGCCTTGTTTATTTTGGTGAGGTGACAAATATACCACCAATAGTTTTATATATAGGTATTATTCTGTCTCATGCTAACTCAGCGGTCAATCCAGTTGTGTATGCATTCAAAATACAAAAAATCAAGAAAGCTTATCTGAAGATCTGGAGAAAGTGTGTTTCACGTGTTGCTGAAAATCAAGAATCCTTGACAAGCCAAATGACAGACAAAAGATCCAGCAGTCACATTGTGTCAAATGACTGAAGGCAGATTTCTGTTTTCTTGCCTTTTTGTTCTAATTATAAGGCTGATTTTTTGTTGTCTTTTCCCCCCAATTATATCTAAGTATAAGGATTAGTATATTTTGTTTCATTGACTTGTGTACTTTATTCAAGTATTACTATAAAACAAAGTACTTTTTGTGATATCTGATTGGTTTGTTTTATCATATTTTAAAATCTCTATGCTGCATCTAGTTTTTTTTATACAACATGTAAATTTTGTATTTGCTGCTTTGTTGGTTTTCATGCATTTTTTAAAACTATATTGTCTTTAAGATTTTATCTTTGTATTGAAGATTTAAGGAAATCCTTACTCACATCTGGAACTATGCAGCACAGGAAACAACTGTACGTGCACTTAATTTTGTATTACCAAAGTAGATTAAAGCCTAAGAGGAAGTGAGACATTCAACTGACAACTACATTCATGAGCGGTCTCCGAGTTCCACTTTAAAATTTTCGTATCATGTCAAGCACATTTTTAGTTTGTCCAAGATGGTTGTCAGTGCAACCAAATAGTTTATCACATGCTGCATGTGATACAGAGATATATATTTAACAATTTCCTCATTTAAGCAGATAGAAAGGTTTATAGTCATTCTGTGTTGAACATATGTGATTTATCCTGATTATGGAAGAATAAGCAACATTAAAGTCCATGCCACACTCCCATTTCAGTGTTCACATTAAGTTTTGTAAATTGTTCAAAAAAGCTGGAGCATTGTGTTTGAAAGCACAAGCTGTTTATGAATTGGTTATAAGAGGAATTATAATGCACTTAAAATTTCTCTTCATTATGAAGTTTCTCTGCAGGAAAACTGGGTCATCTTTTGTAACAAGAAAAGAAAAGAATAGTGCAGATGGCCATAGCGAATGTGACCATGATGCCATTATTTCACAAACAAAAATAACTATAAAAATATTTTTTTTAAATCAGAGATAACCTCCAGCCCAGTGGAAGAGAATGGATTCATGGGTTTCTCATAAATGCACGGCACAATTTATGCACATTTTCTATTCAAACCTCAAAGTTACTTTCCTAAACCTTTGCAGCTCTGCAAAAATCACAACAAACATAAAGATAATAAACCAAAATTCTTGGTGTTCTAAATGACAATCCATATAGCTCATAAGGATTTGAGAAATATTTATTGAAATGTAAAAGCAAAGAAAAGCAACTTACTGTTAAGAATTTGTGGAAAATATAAAAACAATAATATCTGTTTTTATCCTTTTACTTTTGATTTTACAACAACAGTTACAATAAGCCATCATTTCTGTTCAAATGTTGGAGCCAAGGAGTCTTTTAAGAGCTAAAAGCACCAATTTCTGGCTATATGAAACTTAAAATAAGACAAAACTAAGAAAAGAAATTTAGAACCTAAAATAAATGCATCAAATGTGGTTCCAAAATAGGTTACAAACCAATCTGTGATTGTTTTTTACAGTTACACCACAAATTATCATGGTAAACATAATACCTGGTTTACACTATTATCCTATCATTGATATTTAGTTGTTTGTTATTTGTATTACATGGTTCGAAACACTGATGTCTATATGGAGCCTCATAGAATTGCTAGCATGGCTATGGCCTCACACATAAATTGCAAAGAAATTTTTAACATACATGGACGTACAGACTTTTATTTAAAAAACTTTTTCTTCTAAATGAAGAAAAAAAAAGCTCAATTCAGTAATTAAAAGAGGCATTCATATATAGATTAAAAGTCATATTTAGATATGAAAATAAAGTTCAGCATGCACTGGACATTTAGTTCTTAAAACAATGAGGGGTAATATGAAATAAAACCCTCTGCCATGCATTTGGTTAACAAGTGATATGTGGTTTTCATCCTTTCAAGCGTCTTCTGAAAGAAACTCAGAAGCACTTCGCTTAATTTATCCTCATCCATATCTTCGTCAAATTGCACACACTTTTCATAATCTGTATATGGAATATAGGAAAGGAAATGACAATGAAATGTTAAAACTTAAACTGATTTATATATGCACACTCAAAAGTGACACAGAGTGTGCTACACCATCATAAAATCATCATGCTGCCCAAAAGACATAAAAACACATTTTTGAAAGAAGAAAGAGGATCATTTACATATGTGCTATCTGTTCCTTTTTTTTTGGTTGCTGTAAAAGTCTCACCATGATCAGTGTTGAGGAGTTGGGGTTTAGACCATCCCAGACACTCTGCCTGTGTCTCAAACTCCGTCAGCTCAGCAGCAGAAACAGCTGTTCGTCTACCTGGTGAAGCAGTGCGACATCTGAGATAAAAGGCCTGTGATAATATGATGGATTGTATTGAACCTTGTATTTCTCACAGCGTGCATTTTGCTTTTTGTTTAACTACAACAGGAAATTACAAATTATGAATGGTCTAAAAGCCCCCAGCCCTGCCACCTTACTGAAGAGCAAAAGATGACTTTTATCCTCTTTAGAGACGAGGCAGTCAGGACAGCCAGTGTGCAGCAGCACGTCTGGTTGATCAACTGTGGCATCTGTTGGAATCATTAAAGTAATTTAAAGTATTTAAATGGTAGTAATATATTAAATTGTTATTGAACTACAGCTTGTAGTCAGAGTATATTTAAAAGAAAAACCTCTTACTTTCACTGTCGAGTTCAAATATGCTGCTGTTTGCATAGAGAAATCTTGAGGTTCCATTGATACAAACTCCATTCCTGCAACATTCATCATTACAGATTTAACACCTGAAAGAACAGCTGAACAATGTTACCATGTTAAATGCTATTAATTTAACTAAAAAACAAAAAATAAAACATTACTTACGCTTTCAAATAAGTAGTATCACCATAGAGGTTTGGTTCGCCCTTAGAAATTACATCCACTGCGGCACTTGGGGAAAATAAAGCACTGACTAATGTTGAAGACAGGCAAAACTCTGTGGACACAGCTATAAAGTGCCACCTCCCAATCAGCTGAAATAAAAGATTTGTTTTAATTGATTGATTCATTATTTATTTTGGAAATTCACAAAAAAAACATTCAGAATATTTCCCTCCATCACATCTCAGAAAAAAATTGCAAGTTTTAACAGCTGAAACAAAACAAATGTGGAAAGACACTTACATCTGGACGTTGGTCGACTGGCTTTAACAGCTTCTCACAGGCCAGCGATGCAGGCTGGCCCACTGAGATGAGACTCAGCAAAACAAGAGCAGCACTCAAAGTCTTCATCCTCACAGATATGTGTTCTCTAAAGCCCCTTGTTGGTATCAGCTCTGCCTTAAAATAACATCACCAACCAGTTATTTTTCTGCTTCATCCACCCGCCCCTGTCTGGGCAGCTACAGAACAGATAACCACATGTTAACCCTGATGTTATTTGACTAAGCTGATGTTTATTCGTCAAACATGGTGCAGCAAAATAGTTAGGTTTGCAGAAGCACATAACAGAACACTGATATGTGAAATCCATGGTTAAAATGTGTTAAATGAATACATTCACAGCTACAAAATACAGTGAGTGTGTGTGTGTGTGTGTTGGGGGGGGGTCAGTTATGCTGAAGTTTTTCATATTTATGCAACATCATGCTTTTAAAGGTTGTGTGCTTTAGGAAACTGGAGCAATATTGCATGTTCACAATCCAGGTTAAAAGCCAAAAGCTTTTTTTTTTTAAAGTAATGATCTTGGCCCTCAACTGCAGATATAAGCACTTTTTTTGCACTTTGTACTTTGTACTCTGTATATTTACTGTAGTCTGTTTAGCCTGTCTAATTTTTACCTAAATACCTTCACTTCAGCCCAAATAGTTTTTTTATTAAGTTATTCTAAAACAACACAATAAAGCATCAACATGATTGAGCTCTATACCCTGATTTGCTGCACATGGAGTCAAAAACACATTACAATTCTCAATGAGAAAGAGCAAACACATTGACTGTAAAGAAAAGAGAAATAACGCAGTGACATTACTAAAGGAAACTGAAGTTGTGTGGCTACCTGGGAGTTACCACAGCCTATATTTCTGAAGTACCATTTAAGACACTTAAGAGTCAATTACTTTCACATAAAGTATTTACACACATGAAGGCCACTTTACGCAACTGGCTCGGCTCTTCTCCACGCTGGCATAACTTAGTGTTTGCAGCATTCATGTAGTCTAGACAAGGATCATGATAGGAATAACTTTAAGTTATAGACAGATGAGTGAAATATGCTCAGTTAATCATATTTATTATAACAATCCAACCTTGTATGATTGATGCGTATCTAATATACGCAATTTCACTCAATAAGATTTGAAGTTCATGTAACCTGTGCGGAAAACTACTGTCAACCTGTGCCTGGGGAAGCTGTGACTTCATGTTGGCATCAGCACAGTAGACTGGCTTTGAAGGGAGCTTGTCTTACATTTTGCATGCAGATTAGACTGGGAAACTTACAGAATATACTGGGCACACCCAGTCCTGATGGGAGGTGTTGTGTAGTTGAGATGCTGAATGGACTGAAAAGGTTGCACTATGCTGGATACCACTGTCACATAGCAAAGAATACAGCGCTTTCGGTTTGGTACGCATATGTATCAAACAATACAAAATTTTTAATTTATGTTATCAACTTTTCTTCTGACGATGCTGTCTGTGTTGAGAGCTCAGTGGATCTGCGTTCGACTACTCGGCCTAGGCTGCACTGTGGAGCGCAGATCCACTGAGCGCAGCGCAAGCTAGCGAGACAGAAGTTAAGCTCGTTGCAACATGGCAACTGCCTCAATGCTACCCGAAATTGAGCCTCCCCCACCCTCATTCAGATCTGGCGTTTGGAACTATCTTGGTTTTCATGTTAAGCATGACCCTGATGGTAAGCGCGTCATGGACAAAAGTAAAACAGCATGTCAGATGTGCCACGCAATGCTCAATTACATTGGTGGGAACTAGTGCGTTAGCGCAGTTTGCTCGTTAACTTATTGACACTGTCCAGCCCCACGCACGGGGCGATCCGCAGTAACTCTGAGATTTGCCATGTTATGGCGTTAACGTCATTTTAATGAGATTAACGCTGACAGCACTAGTGGGAACACAACGAATATGACAGCACATTTACGCCGACATCATCCTAGTGCAAAGACAAGTGGAAGCAGACAAAAACAACAAACACACATGCTACAAACTTTACCCGAGTCATTTAGACAGCACATGATTCTCCTTATGGGGACCTGATATGTTTAATATGCTGCTGAGAATATAGCCCAGAAGAAGCGGATAGTATATCTTTTATTTTGGAAAGAGCCATTTCTCTGTAATAAACTCTCTTTTCCAAAGATGAGTGATTTCTCAATCAGATAGATTTATTTTTTTTATTATTATTTTGTTGTTTCAGTAACATTAAATTTAAAAACTGTACTTTTGAGTTAAAATATATATTTATAATTTTAATAAATGACAAATTAAAAAGGCATGAACATTCTTTTGTATCGAAAAAATATCAAACCGTGACACCAAAGTATTGAACTGAACCGAACCGTGAATTTCTGTGACGCCGAGACAAATTCCACTAGTGGAACACAGCCACAGAAACAGAAGCCATTCGTAACAGCAAAACTGCAGACGTGGAAGCAGAGCAACTACAGACGAAAGCTTCGACCTGTTTCACCAATGTAAAGCCCCCAGCATCCAACATCAACATGGAGGGGAGGAAGGCACTCACATCACATAGCAATCACAAGAACATTATCATCCTTCCAGCAGACAAGAGTTTCTGCATGGTTTTGCTAAACCAGAAAGACCATCATGAGAAAAACTGTGTCACTGCTCAGTGACAAAAATACTTATGACCCCCTGAAACAAAACCTAGGAAGTGGTTACAGGAAGAGGGTGATAGATTGCCTGAAGCAGTTAGAACAAGACAATGTTATTGACTGGACCTCATACCACAGGCTATGCCCAGGGGAATCTACAAAGATACATAAACAGGGTGTACCTTTAAGACCAATTGTCTGTACTATCAACTCAGTCACCTATAACATCTCAAAGTTTCTGGCTTTGATCCTCAACCCGCTGGTAGGCAGCTCTGAACACCACGTCCAGAAGACCTTGGATTTTGTTGAGAAGGTGAGAGATGTTATTATGGGGGCAGATGAAACAATGGTTTTGTACAATGTTACAATGACTCTTCACTTGTGTTCTAGTCACTGAAGCATTGGAGGTAGTCCGTAAGAGATTACAGGATGAGCCCAACTTCAGTAGCAGAACCACAGCACCGACCGGTTGTATTTGCTTTTGGAACAGTTTCGCCCATTGTGGCCAATTTGTACATGGAAGAAATGGAAAAGAGGGCTTTGTTACACTGTTCCAAAAAATAGTAATGTCAAATTATTTTACTATGTATTTTACAGTTGTGTACTGTTTTTCTAGAATATCATTACATTTACATAAGTAGACTGTGATCTGACACGTCAAATGTAAAATAACATAACATCACTGTAAATGTAATGAAACACAATTTACTTGTTTTTTAAATATATTTTTTTGTACATATGCATATTTAGATTGTAAAAATACATCCAGAAATGTCTCCCATCATGCCTTGGGACATGTGCTGTTGTTTAGATGTTCTTGTTGTTTAGATGTACAGACAGAGGCTGAAGCTCTCCAAACCTGTCGTGAGGACAAAAAAACTGTGGAGCAACGAGGCTGTGGAGGAGCTTCGCACGTGTTTGGAGTCTACAGACTGGGACACAATGAAGGCTGCTTCTAACAGCTTGGACGAGTTTACGGACACTGTCACCTCCTATATCCACTTCTGTGAGGACAGCATTGTGCCATCACGCACCATTGTGAGTTATAACAATGACAAACCCTGGTTTACTCCTAAACTCAAACAGCTGTGGCTGGAAAAGAGAAAGGCGTTCAGAAGCGGAGACAGGGACTGCTACAGAGAGGCCAAGTACAGGTTCACTAAAGAAGTGGACATTGCTAAACATCAGCACTCTGAGAAGATGCAGCAGCAGATCTCAGAGAATGACTCGGCCTCTGTGTGGAAAGGTTTTAGGAATATCACCAACTACAAGCCTAAAACCCCCCACTCCACTGATGACTTGCTCTTAGCCAACACCCTTAACGACTTCTACTGCCGTTTTGACGAGCCATCAGGCAGCCTTCACACCTCCAACGGCCCCAACAATAGAGGCACTTTGGACACTAATTCCCCCACCTCTCCCCCCTCCATAGAGCCATCACCACCTTCAAACTGTTCACCTACAACACCCCCCTCCTCACCCCACACAAAAGAGGATTTCACACCACCTCCTCCCACCACAACTCTTCATATTCATGAAGCAGATGTGAGGAAGCAGTTTAAGAGTCTGAATGCTCGAAAAGCTCCCAGACGGTGTGTCTCCTGCCACCCTCAGACACTGTGCAAACGAGCTGGCCCCAGTGTTTTCTGGCATTTTCAACTCCTCACTGCAGGCATGTCATGTGCCTGCCTGCTTCAAGTCCTCTACCATAATCCCTGTCCCCAAGAAACCTAGAATCACTGGACTAAATGACTACAGACCCGTGGCTCTGACATCTGTGGTCATGAAGTCATTTGAGCGCCTAGTTCTCTCCCATCTCAAGACCCTCACGGCCCCCCTCCTGGACCCCCTGCAGTTTGCATACAGAGCCAACAGGTCTGTAGATGACGCCATCAACATGGCCCTACACTTCATCCTGCAGCATCTGGACTCCCCAGGAACCTACGCCAGGATCCTGTTTGTGGACTTCAGCTCTGCCTTCAACACCATCCTTCCAGACCATCTCTGAGGCAAGCTTTCCCAGATGAATGTGCCTGATCCCATCTGCCGGTGGATCACTGACTTCCTGACGGACAGGAAGCAGCATGTGAGGCTGGGAAAGAATGTCTCGGACTCCCGGACCATCAGCACCGGCTCCCCTCAGGGCTGTGTTCTTTCTCCTCTGCTCTTCTCCCTGTACACCAACTGCTGCACCTCCACCCACCAGTCTGTCAAGATAATCAAGTTTGCAGATGACACCACCGTTATTGGGCTCATCTCGGACGGGGATGAGTCTGCCTACAGGAGGGAGGTTGAACGTCTGGTGTCTTGGTGCAGCCACAACAACCTGGTGCTGAATGCCCAGAAGACAGTGGAGATTATTGTGGACTTCAGGAAGCACACAGCCCCACTCCCCCCCATCATCCTGACTGACACCCCCATCACCTCTGTGGACTCATTCCACTTCCTGGGTACCACCATCACTCAGGACCTGAAGTGGGAGCCCACCATCAC